GTGGAGTAATTCGGAATATTTGGCCTCGGTAGCGTGGTTGGGTGGGCCACTAGCTTGTGCGGGCCACTAACTTGTGGATTACGTTATTATCTATAATACTATACTTCGCCTTTATATTATATATAAGCTTAAACTATAGTGTAATAATCCTTAGATCTTTATATAGAGCTTTCTAGCAATTGTACTTTTAATTAAACTGTGTTTGAAGCTTATTGGTCCGCTTAACAAAGTTGCATAGCCAGTTCTTGCCAACCTGGCCGGCACCGCGCTCTCTAAGTAACTTATTGGCCATATCTCTTACAGCGTTTAAGCTAGGCGCAAACCCTCGCAAATCCAGATTGAGTACATGTTCAATAATAACTGATTCCTCTAGCTTTGTAAGCTTTTTTGAATTGGGCTCACAATTGCGTTGAGCGGTGGTTCCGGCGCGTCGGTCTTGGAGCGTGCTTCTAGGGACGTTGTACGTTGCAACAGCGCGTCGTTCGCTTTGAAGTTGATTCTTATCAATTGCTAAGATAGCTAGGCAGATTCGGCCTTCTTTTTGGATTGATTGTACATTGCGTTGTTGAGACATGGTGGTTGAAAGCTAACGGAGCGCGTTTTGGTGATGAGGTGGCCGGCTCGCTTGGGTGGCCGGCTCGCTTGTGTTGCACGTTACTCGAAGAGCACAAAAAGCGAAGATGTTGAATTGGGCGAAGGACGTCCACTAGTTCGCTCACATCCACTGATCGAACGACCACCCACACGTATCGAAGCCGCTATCCAGCAAGTCAAGAACATCACGCCAGATTTGGATCCAGAATACGAGGTACCCATCCGGTCATTAGTGGTTACGTTACCATTGTGTGCCGTGTATACGATTTTTCGATTCTATATTCTGCTGGAAGACATTATATCATTTCGGCAACTTCCAGCTTCCGCTTTTGTGCAAGTCGACTAGTCGACGTATCTACCGCATATCTAATGGCTATTATAGTTCCAATGAATTAGCATGGAGTTCATAGCTGTAATTGCTTTACCTAGAGTCCCTACCACACTTTCAAAAACGTTTCTAGGTCACTTTGTAGCTTATATTAATCATGATAATTTTCTAAGAATACTAGTGGTAGTGGCACTAAGACTACTATCGACGTTAGCGCATATCTTCAGTACAAACAGTTGCAACCTCCGATGTTGTGGGCCGCGCCAACTACTGCGGCGATACTGACATGTACCCCGGCTTCAATATGTACATCAAACGTGATCCTATAGGCTGACTTGGAGATATGGAACTCCAAGATCATGCGATACACTCTTAGAGCCTGGACCAGTATTGTCCATAACTATGGATCAACTAAGCGCGCCCCACCTTGTTCACCCTTTACCTTCCCAACGAACGCACTTGCGTGTTTTGAAGTCGTCGTATAAAGGAAGCCAAGGAGGCATTATGGTATTGTACTTGGAAAAGTCCGGATGCACTCGCTCGTCATGGGAATGAAATACCACAAGAAGTAGCAAGAAAGGGTGCGCATATCAACGAGAAACTACAGGAATGCAGCCGCGTTGCAAGTCGGGTAAAGTAGCCATAACATCCCGAAGCTAAAATGTCTCGTCAAAGATATCTGTACACGCGTTTGCCGCTGCATGAAGAGCTTCATAGCATTTTCAGCATTCCGAATAAGAGAGAAGTTCGGCATTTTGGACAACCAGTAAACTTGCGAGGCTACCTCAGACAGCGTTAACTGAGTGTACAAAGATTGGGAGTGCACCTAACTTCCCTGCTTTCTGTTAGTACGCTGAAGCTTCACAGGCAGTAGCAGGAAAGCGTACGGATGGCCTCGGCAAGGCACTGTAGATCCAAGGCCATCATTTAGACGTATTGGCCGCCCTTCATCCAGCCGAGCTGTTTCCACATATTCAGCTTATCCCACTCTTTCGTGAAGCTCTTCACTTTCCCATCTTCTACCTCGAATATCGCCGAGGCGGTCCAGGAAGCTTTGTTGCCCGTGGGCTGGATACCATTGTGTTCCTTGCCGCAGTGACTCCCTTCGGCGGAATACCTCAAGCAGACCATTCCCCCTTTTGCAAATATGATATCGTAGGACTTGATGTGCAGGTCTGCGACGGCAGCCATTACATGGGAATGCGAGTCGGCGTAATCGAGGGGGGTGTGGCATCCGGGGAAGGTGGTTGGTGCTGTAAAAGTGGCGTTCTCTGCGACGAGGTGCTGGACGCTATTGCGGCCGGTGTTTTCTTTTGGGGAGTAGCTGATGCGCATGTACTCTTTGACGACGTCAACGTTTTTCTGCAAGATCAGTTTCATCATGGGGAGAGATCGGAGGGTTGTTGATGGCGATGGAACTTACAGACTCCTCTTCGCTTTGAGCGACGGTCAGTTTCGAAGGCGGATACTTGGACATGATGTGCATGTATAAAATGAAGTAATTGTAAGATTAGTGATGCAGATGCAAGTTACCTTTGTAGTAGGCGTAGTTGTTCATATGGGCACTAGATAGATGGAATTGAGGTCATCGTAACCTCATCTGGGCGATCGCAAAGCGACGGCATCATGACGTCCTCTCTTGACATCAAAGCAATCATTGATATGAAAGAATGAAATATTATGGCATGTTGAACGGTGAGTAGTAGCTGACGCAGCTAAGCGGCCGTGTGTGATGGATGAGGTTGAAGGCGCCGTGGGAATTGCAGCGTAAATCTTCTCTAGGATCACAATCATTGGCCAGAACTCCATGGAGCTTGTAAAATCGTTCATTGGCCAGATCGAAATAATGGCGCTATCACGTGATACTACACAAAGCCTCCGCAAAATCTGCGAACTTCGCATTTTCACTCCTCCTTCAACACCAGAGTATCTTGCAGGCTATGCTGCATCTTCTTTGGGTCATGCGCCTTGTTTGACTATTCCGTTCTAAATAGAACCCGAATAGATCCACATCAAGTATTCCATTCTGCCAGCGACAAGATCAGGCACTCTCTTTTGGCCCCAAACTCCTGAGTCTCTGTAACCACAGCGCAGTACACGCGACGACGAATACTCATTCGAAATACTCTTTTGTGGCTCACGAACTCCTCTGTGTTCTGTTTTTAGCCGCTAGAAGTCCACAGATTGGTTGGATCTTTCATGACGGCGCGTGCCAGTTTCTTCGCCACGGGAGGCTGCAGGCCTTGTCAATGCGAAACTTGGAGTAACCGCTACACGAACACTGAACGTGTCATCTACGTTTCTATTTAACAATGCGACACCCCCATCTTCTGTGCCTCCTCTGTGTTCTGTGCCTCCTCCGTGTTCTGTGCCTCCTCCTTGTTCTGTGCCTCCTCCGTGTGCTGCCACCTCTCACCACTCACAAGAGCGAGGCGCAGCCCGCATTGCCGCTGGCCTTTGCCTCTTTGTGCTGCGGATCAACATCAAAGCCCCATGACCGCTCTGCATTGGGTTGCGCTTATGCAGAGCTCGCATTTTAGACGCCACCTTCGACTCTAGTTGTATTTACTGGCACTCATGACTGGCCGCCTTATGCCGGCAGTGCGGTAAGACAGAACTAGCCACTACTGCTGATGCGGGAGACCCTGAATTAGAAGCAAAATGCGAGGAGCCTCATCCATTACAGCCCCCAATGCACCACCAGTTCACATCCATTAGGTACCTACAGATCGCTGGCATAAGTCTACATATAGGAGCCCTCCTGACCCTCTCCTACTGGAACCCTCTTTTACCATTGCTTTCTATTCGTCAAGTGTCGTTCGTTGGTAGATCTCGCCTTCCATTTCTAATAAGCTTGACGATCGTTCCTGCATTTACTACACCCTCGCACATTGGCGCGCGCCTTTTGTTACACTCAGGCGTCACAAGGCAACTAGATCCAAGAACTCTCCGTATTACTGTTTCAATCCTTCGTGACTCACGTCTCCTACGCCTCACAAAGAGATCCGGGGAGGGACGACGAGTTTCCATTATATAAGCTCGCACACAAATCTTCAGTAATTCACACCCATACCAATATCACATTCTCATCTCTCCTACTTCAGTCCTGATACCTATTAAGCACCTTGCGATGCACGATAGCAGGCCCCCCACAGCAGCAGCCATGGATCTCGCAACTCTCGAAACAAATCCTCACGCGCCGTTGAGGCTTCTCTCCCTCGATGGTGGCGGTGTACGCGGCCTATCTAGCCTTATGGTGCTCGACGATCTCATGGAAAATATCGCCATAGAAGAGAAGCGACTCGGTCGGAGACCGCAAAACGACAGCACACCGCTCAAGCCCTGCGACTACTTCGACTTGATCGGGGGCACCAGCACTGGTGGTATCATCGCTATTCTCCTTTCCCGCCTTCGATTAGACTGCAAGCAATGCATCGGCATTTACTCCAAACTTGCCGAGCAGATCTTCAAACATGACAGGTCCATCAAGGTCGCGGGGATGAAACTACCAACGGGCTCAACTCGTTTCTCCGGCCTAGTACTCGAGAAATCAATCAAGTCTGCTCTCGTAGATCTCGGCTATGACGAGAACGAGCTTATGTGGGACGACTCGCTCTTCGAAGAAGTTCCCGAGACCGACCCCTTACCGCGTGACAGTATCTGGGCCGACACCTACTCTCCAATCAAGATGACAGTCTCCCCGGTCGAGTCACCCAGAGCCGATAGTCTCGTCCCAGCCGGAGGCGACAGCAAGGCATCCACCAGCAACATAGCAGACGAGCTACCACCGCCCAAGCATGCTCTCACCGAGCCTTTCGGACCTGCTCTCAGCAAGCAAGCACGCACCTCGACCTGGAAGCTTCATCCTCGCCAGTCCGTGCACCAAAAAGCCGGAAAGAAAGGCTGCCGCGGTTTCGTCTTAACCTCACTCAAGAACGCGCTGGGTCTCCCCAGGATCTTATCCACCTACGACCCCAACGATCGCCAAACCCGCATCTGGGAAGCCCTCCGCGCCACCTCCGCCGCCCCCACCTTCTTCGAAGAGATGCAATTCGGCACACCAAAAGTAACCTACCTCGACGGCGGCGTCGGCTTCAACAACCCCTGCGCCGAAGTCGACTACGCCGCCAAAGCCCTCTGGGAAGGCCGCTCCATCGGCACCATCGTCTCCGTCGGCACCGGCCTGCAATCGATCCCCTCAGTCAAGAAGATCGCCTCCTGGCTCCCCTTCGGCCTGGGCACCGACATCTCGCTCGCATCCGCCCTCGCCAGCATGGCCACCAGCACCGCGCGCGTGGACAACGAGATGAAGCGCGCCTACTACGAGACGGACACGCGCTACTACCGCTTCGACGTCGACCGCGGCCTCGCCAATATCTCGCTCGAGCAGTGGATGCGCGAGGACGAGATGGCCGCGCTGACGGAGCAGTACATGCGCGACGCGAAGCAGGTGCGGCGCGCGCGCCAGCTCGGCGAGCTCATGGCGAAGCTGTCGGCGCTGCCGCCGCGGTTCGAGATCGCAGCGACGCACTTCCGTGTAGGCATGGATGGGCGCGGGCTTCTTGACCAGTCGTTCGCGCTCGCGCAGGTGGACTTCAAGACGGGCATGCCGCTGGGTGTGGCGCCGCATCTCGATGACTTGCCTAAGATGTCGAAGTTCCGCAACTCGAGCCCGAGTGGGGAGAGCGGGCTCGCGATTGACGCGAACGGCCGCATGCGAAAGGTGTATCCTGTGGCGTCTGATCTTGATGGCGATGGGCGGAGGCAGGAGGCGGCGGTGTTTCAGTGCGTGCGCGCTGATAACGTTTGTCTACGGACATTGAAGACCGGGATCCCGCAGGGACAATACCGCGTCGTATTCATCGTCTCTTTCCAGAACAGCAAGTACACTGCGCCCGACAACCTGGTCTTCAGCGTTGGCAAGCCGTTCGATGCGCGGACATTTGCGCAGCGGTTCGTGGATGTGAATATCACGCCTGATGTTGTGGGTGTGCTGCTGCACCCGGATGCGGTGAGGGTAAGGGTAGGGAAGAAGCGGTATACGGAGAATAAGGGGAAGGGGTGGTTGGAGATCGAGGGGGATGTGGAGGTGCAGGTGGGGCTGGATGGGGCGCTGGGGTTTGTGGTGAGTAAGCGGTATGAGGAGGATTGCTTTGTGGATGGGTTTACGTTTGGGGGGGTGAGGCTGGAGCCGGTGTTTGGGGGACAGGATAGTAGGGGTTAAGCAGGTGTGAGTTCTCATGTTTCATGTCAGCTTTTGAGCATATCTTCAGCGTATTTCAGGGCGTTTTTGCGGATTAAGATACGTTTAATCACCAATCAAATTCAGATCATCTCTACACTTTCAAAAAACGTCCACACTTCCCACGACCCTCCTCCCCCTTTCATCACTTCCCATCATCCTCCCTCAACACCCCCCACAAATTATTCAAACTCTCCGCCCAACTCGGATGCGCAAACACCATCTCCCGCAACCCCTCCCACCCCACCCCTCCCACCATCGCCATCTGCACCACCGCCATCACCTCGCCCGCCTCAGGCCCTACCGCCGAAAACCCCAGTATCTTCCCTGTCTCCCCGTCCACAACCGCCTTCAGCATCCCCCGCGTCTCGTCCGTCTCCAGTGCCCGCGCTATCCACGTCCCCGGCATACTCGCCGTCCTCAGCTTCCTTGGTGGCGAGAGCTTGCGCGCTTCGGCGAGATGCAGCCCCACGTGCGCGACCTGCGGGTCTGTGTAGCAGACGTATGGGATTGTGGCGGCGCGGGCGGCGGTGGTGTGGAGAGCTGAGGGGGAGGGTTCAGGGGTGGCGAGGAGGTTGTCGCGGATGATGCGGAAGTCGTCGTAGGAGACGTGGGTGAAGGCGGGGGGCCCATGGACGTCACCGAGGGCGTAGGTGCCCGGGGCGGAGGTTTCGAGGGTGGGCGAAACGATGATGTGGCCGCGCGGGCTGGTGCGGATGGCGGCGAGGGGGAGGTTGAGGGAGGTGGTGTTGGGGGTGCGGCCGGTGGCGAGGAGGAGGTGTGTGCCTGAAATTGTGGATGGGTTGCCGGTGGGGGGTTTGAGGGTTAGGGAGATGGGGTTGGAGGGCGTCGTGGTGATGGAGATGGGGGACGTGTTGAGGAGGACGTCGATGCCGTCTTCTTGCAGGATGGAGAGGATGCAGGATGCGATCTCTGGGTCTTCTCGGGGAAGGAGTTGGGGACCGCGTTGGATGATTGTGACTTTGGAGCCGAAGCGGCGCCAGAGTTGGCCGAATTCGAGGCCGATGTAGCCGCCGCCTAGGACGATAAGATGTTGAGGTGCTTCTTCTAGCTCTTGGATTGAGGTGGAGTCGAGCACTCGAGCAGGATCGATGCTCTCTAGGCCGTCCAGGTTGGGCCTGGAGGGTCTCTCTCCTGTATTGATGAATATCAAATCCGCGCTCACCTTCTCCCCGCCTCCCTCCATCTTCACCACCAGCTCTTTCGGACCCACGAAACTTGCTTCCCCCATCAACACCTCCACACCCGCAGCTTGAAGCCTCTTCTCCCCACCTTCCCGGAAGCTCTTGACAATATCTCTCTTTCGTTCTCTCACTCGCTTAACATCGACCTTGATTTCTGGTTTAGAATCTCCAAAGTGGACCCCATACTCCCCAGCTCTTCTAGCCCAGTACGCTACCCGCCCACTCGCGACCATAGTCTTCGTAGGCGTACATCCCTCGTTGACACAACAGCCACCAACATGGGTGCGCTCGATGAGACACGTGCGGCGGCCTGAGCCGGCAAGGGCTGAGGCGAGAGGGGTGCCGGATTGGCCGGATCCGATGACGCAGGCGTCGAAGTGCTTTAGGGACATGCTTTTGATGAATTGGAACGTGGTTGAAATTGGAAAATTGAGGATGGGATTAGACGTTGACGTGGGGATGAGATGAGTGAAGCGGCGGAGCATGAATTGATTGAGAAAGTTGTGTAGAGAGGATGACGGACGGAGGAGAGATGAGGAAGAGGCATTGAAAGAGGAAAAGGAGATTTAAGATACTTATCGCGCTGTTTATATAGCCATGGCAGTTCTTTGATGACTGATGGAGTCTGGAATGTTACAAAGGCTGGCGTTCGTAGTTACCTGAGTTCATGCCTTCTGGGTGAGAATTGTTAAAGTGGCACACGCTAGTGATTTAGGCACACCTCCATATCTACCAACAGGCCTCTCCGACCTGGAGACAAAGGACTGTAGGTAGAAGACGCTATGGAAAGGGAAATTTCCGGAATTCCTGAGATAGAAACATAGAATGCTCTCTCGCGCGGCCTTATATGCTTGTTAGCACATGCCTGAAGACGGAATAGCGCAAAGTGCACTTTAACCTGCCCCTACCCCGCGAACCTACCCCTCACCACCATGGTAACTTCTAAGCCATTATTGGCGCGTGAATAAGCTAGTAGTCACACAAATTGAAGTAACGATATCTTTGCCGTGGAATCTTTGAGGAGATAATAGCTTGAATACGTTCGCTCCGCCCAGCTCCTCGTGATGCTGACATCGTTCCACTTGAGCTCGCGTTTGCAACAGCATAATAGACGTATTATGGAGACCGTGCTACCACTCGCTGCATAGAGTAAGAAGATAAATGTTCTAGAGACGGGGCCTAATTCTCCCTCCAGACCCTCTCAACCTTCTGCACTTTTTGCAACGCATCAATCCAGCTCCCCTTAATCCAGCTCCGCTCCGGGCTCTTCTCCATGGGCACCCTCCCAACCTCTAACTCCCGTGTAAGCGCTGGCATCTCCAGCTTCACCCTTCCAAGACATTAATGATACCGAGCAGTAGTAACTGGTGATGAAAAGCATAAATCACTAGCAAATGATGATCATCAGACAATAGAAACGATGGAGATCATCATCACAAACCAGTAAAGCCTAGTTAGTAATTTGTCGATATCGAAGAAACTTGTCCCTAGTCAGTAACCCGCTCATCTGGTCGACACGACCTTCGAAACCTAGTTAGCAGTTGGTCGGGAGCAGCTAAGGTTTGAAGTTTGGGGGGAGGGCGAGAATATATACCTCAGGATCCACTAGCGTCTTGGCAAGTGGGCAGCCCGGATCACCGCTGTTGCCTAAAATCCTGGATTGTGGCCTGAGATCACTGGAATGTTGCCTGAAATCCAGGACCTCCGGCGTCGTAGAGGAGTGAAGGCGGCTTGGCTAAGCCGCGGGAGAAGCCGAAGAAGAGCTCGTCGCCGGCGTTCTAGTTATTGACAATATAGTGTAGGCTTTGATTACGTTTTCGACGAGGCCATAGCCCAGAATAGACGCTGGGTAAGAAGAGGGCTGGGTTGAGTTACGCTACCTTGTCCTTTTTGTCTCTGCATCGGTATGTCGCCTGTTCCGAGTCTCGCGCCGTAGTACACAAGTGCGCTGGTATACCTTTCGTTTTAGTTTATGTCCAGCGTCGGCGAGAGTTTGGTAGAGACGGGTGACGTTGGATGGGCAGCTGTTTTTAGGATTGATGGAAGTTGATGATTGGGAAGTGTCATCGCAGCATACCACGATGCGCTTTGGGTCTACCTTGGCCTCTTCTGAAACGAATGTTTTCTCATTTGTGGAAGCCATGGACGGATAGGTCTAGGAACGATCGCTCGATGAATCAAAACGAAGGAAATGGTATGGAAAATTGAGAGTTACATAAGAGAGATTGGTATACGAGAGGAGCAAATTTATAACAGATACGAATACTACAGCTGTTTTGATTCAATAGCAATGTCTAGGAAATAATTTCCAGTCACGAGTCATAGCCTACCGACCGGGGCTTCCAGGCTTGCCTTCGCGGGCACTACAAGGACAGCTATAGACAAAATGGAACACAGCACTGGAAGAAGCCGCTCTAGGAAAGTGTCCACAGGCATAGCAGAAGCCGAAGAATGGAATGGCACTATGCCGGCATGAAGCGCAATGCGCATGCCCTCTATGTATACAATAGAACGCATAAAAACAAAACCTAAGAAACTGAAACTGTCCATGACTAGTGGAGTAATCGAAAATGGTGTTCAGCTGTCTGCAGCGGCTAAGACAACCGGAAGAGGTAATGCGGTGAGCCTCAGCTAGCCTTGCAAGTCGTAGCAAGATGTGGAGTATCCCCGAGCTGCCACGAGAAATCGTGAAGATAAATCGCCATAGACAGAAATATACTAGAGCAAATCAAATAATCTTATAACTGGAAGGCGTCATGGAGAAGGAATAGCAATGCTACTGTTGTAGATCGCTGAGTGAGGCTGGACGAGACAAGGAATATGTGTAAATATCGCGCAAATGTCTACGGCGCGGCCTGGATCTTGGGCTTCTGGGAGATGTTAGTATTAAATACTCAGTTTCCTGATGTAGTCGACAGACCTGTATGTCACAATCCAATTGCGCCGTATGTGAAGTACATATTCATTCCCAGTCCATGGCATCCATGGCATCCATGGCATCTCCCACAGCCTCCCAAGGAGCATCATCCATATCCATGGCTTCATATTCAACCTCCTGCAGTCCAGGACCTTCTCCATTCAATACTAGCATTCCAGTATGTCCAGGCTGTCTGTCTTTCACCACAAGGCTTGCTTTCTCCAGCCCTTCCAGGATGGTCTTCAACATTATCCCCAATTTCAAGTCCTCTAGTGCAATTCTCCCACCCTCACCATCCGTGGCATCGGGTCCTCCATCCAGCTCGTCGGCATCTTTCCATCGATTCCGATAGTCTTTCGCTCGGCCTAAGTAGATACGAACATCCTGCTGTCCCAGTGCAGCGTGCAGAGGACACTCGATTTCGTCTAGTGTTGCGAGAAGGTTTGCATGGAATTGGTGCATGCCGAACGTTGGGGCCGCGCCAGAGTATGGACCTTTGGCCGCGTTCAAGTCTTTCCGCGAGACACGGACGCCTAAGATTCCGAGGCAGAGGACTATGTACCTCTCCAGGAGTACGTAGAACTCGAAGAAGTCAACCTTGAACATGGATTGTACCATAGCTCCATCTTCCACTGATGCAAAGTCGATAATGGTGCTGTGTGGGTGGTCGTGCTGTTCGTTGCTGCGCCGCTTGATGGCATCAAGGGCCCGATTCCAGGAACATAAGAGGCCCTCCGCTTTCCAATACAGACGGCGTAGAAGCCGATATGATTTGTCTTTGTCCTCGTTCAGCTGCTGGGCGGGAGTGCGCCGCTTGGGCTGCCCCAGAGCCCACTTGGACTCTCGGAGGCCGGGGGTCATCGGTAAGGATGGCGGAGGGATATAGTTTAGATGGGGAGTTTGTGGTTCGAGAAAGCCCTAAAGCGCTGTGGAGGATGCCGTATAAGCATTTGTGAGCGCGAGAAGCACACAGAAGGAAATAGAGCATTGTAGGGGCATAGTTGGTAGCTTGTAGGGAAGACGGTGGTGAATGGAGATGATTGCTATAGTTAACCCAAAGTCGCTTACGGTATGCCGTACTCAGCTCCACTTCTACCTCACCTCAATCCAGAACCCGTGTTGTTCATCAACCACCTGCTTGATTCGTTCTCTCTATCGGAATTCTGATTCTCTCATCAAGTATGAGCGGGTTTGGAGAAGCACAGGGCTCTCATGAGAGCACAGACGACTTGCCCGATGACGGAAGCGCGCGCTTCAAGAAACGCCGTCTTTCGGCGAGCAATATACCAGACAAGCGGAAGAAGTTGTCGGAAACTGCATGGGCAAAGCTACACTCAAACACTCACAACGGCACTGCTATTGGTGAACAGCTGGATGAACCCTCTACTACTGCTTTGCCGACAGCAGTGCCCACAATCCACAAGCCTGGTCTCACATTGCTCGATCTTCCCACAGAGCTGCGCTTGGAGATCTACGATTATCTCCTCGACGACCTCTTAATGCACATCTACCACGACCCAACGGTCAAATCTCGACTCTGCTGTTCCAGCAGTGCGTGCGCCCAGACCGACGAGTCGTCGCTCCTCTGCAAATTCCCAAACTGGACCATTGCTGACGGCTGCTGCAACTACGAGACGCCCAGGGAAGACTGCAAGAATCCCCTTGTTTTCGCATTTACAAGCAAGAAAATCTATCAGGAGACAAGCCTTTTACTCTATTCTCGCCCTACATTTCACATCAGTCACGTGATCTTGATGCCATTCCTATACTCGCTCAAGGACGACCAAAGAAGCGCCATTCAAAGCCTTATCGTCACAGGACCCTTCATGGGTGGCCGCCGTGCTGTCACTAATGCCGGAGACGCGCTTGAAAAAGCGTGCGATCTCCTGCCTGGATTGCGACGGATTGGCGTGCAGATGCCTATATCCAATGGACTGATGGCTGGAAATAGCCTGGACCCTCGTCCACGGTGGCACATGTGGAAATTCAGTCAAGTGCTACTGGCTTCAAGAAAGGAAGGGGTTCAGCAAGTCGTACTAGAGACCACATCATTGTACAAGGGCGGAGATACGCGGCTGGTCGTGTTCAAGGCAAAGCAAGAGGCGAAAGAATGGCTCCTGAATCGAGACATGGACAACATCAACACCACGACGAACACGAGCACTCTAAGTGGAAACTCCTACATGCAGGTACGGAAGCATTGGCTATTCTAGTGGCGACAAGTGGGGTTCATTCTGATCTCTGCTGACTCTTCTTTCTATTGCTTGATGAATCTCTTTGGTGTCAAGCCACCTCTCGGACTTCGAGATTTCGACATGCTCGTCGAAAATCTTTGTCATTCTTGATCGGATTGGATCGATCAGTTCTTCAAACAGAAATTCATGCTAGGTGTTCCACAACCCGGTTCGTTCAGCATTGCATGTTATTGTGTTTTACGCTCAGGGCGTTTGTATGAGGAGCATGGGCTTCTTCGCCTTCTTTGACGAACACCCTACGGCTTAGAGATGGCGAGCACGGGACGAATAAGGCAGATACGACAGAGTCATGTAGTACTTGCTCATTGAAATATCATGGTTGCCCTCCTACGTGTTGCACGGTTCTTCATCAATCTCGATCACTTTCATGTCTTCCTGGAAATTACGATATAGTGACAGCCAGCCGAGGCTGCGTTGCTGAGGGCATAATCTCATTTGAGAGCCGCCTCACACAAACTCTGATTTCGTAGTGACGGGAAGGTTGATATCTTTGAGTATCACCAAACCACCCTATCCCACCAAGCAACTCCCGCAAACGCTCTATTGCGCTCCCACGACCCGTCCGCCACCCCCCCCCCCCCCCCCCCCCCCCCCCCCCACTACCGGCCCGACACCCCCAAAGAAGATCCACTCGCATCCCTTGCAGCAAACTGGACACTGGCACCTGTTCCTCGCCAATCGCAGCCCGGGACCCTCGCCTGATTCCAACGGCATGCCTGTTCCCGCTTCCGCCCCCGTGCCCGTGGGAGCGAGATGCCGACTGTGCCCCTCCACGCGAGGGGTATCCTCATATTTAACTACTCGGCAGGGCGCCTGATTACGTGCGTCCCTAACCTGTACTACTGCTTACGCTGTTACACAGCTGCTTTTATAGTAACACGGCAGAGAAAATAGCAAGGGTCCAAGATGCCTGTCTTGCATGATGAGGATGGGATCGTGGGGGAGGAGCTTCAGGTTGACGTATGCAAGAGACTGGCTTGTCCATTTTCATTCATAAAAGCCTCATAAAGAATATCTAGACTAACGCAAAAGTCAGGCAGGCGTATATGATACAGACCAAGACTCGACTCTCGGTGGAGAAGACGATGCTGCTTCGTATGTGCCATGTCCCACCTCCTTCATTCCAATCTCTCAACCTCAATCTGCCTCCATAATTCCCCTTCCCCTTCCTTCGCACTCTCACCACCCCACAGCATAACCACCTCCCTCTCCTCCTCCATCACCGCCTTCCGCCACGAAAACGGCCGCCGCTACCACAACCACGGCGACGGCCTCACCTACCCACTCCCCAACGACACCGACGAAATCAACCGGCTGGAACTGCAGCACAAAGTCTGGGAAATCTCCCTCAACAAGCGCCTCTACCTCGCGCCCCTCCCACCCACCATCACCTCCGTGCTCGACATCGGCTGCGGCACGGGCATCTGGTGCATCGAGTTCGCCGACGCGCACCCGGACGTGCAAGTCCTCGGCATCGACCTGTCCCCCATCCAGCCCTCGAACGTCCCGCCGAACTGCCGCTTCCTCGTCGACGACGCCAACGCCGCGTGGGCGTTCCCAGAGAAGTTCGACTTCATCCACACGCGCGCGCTGAACTTCGGCGTCAAGGACTGGGACGCGCTGCTCGCGCAGGCGTTCGAGCACCTCGCGCCGGGCGGCTGGATCGAGCTGGACGAGTTCCACGTGCCGCTGGAGTGCGACGACGGGTCCGCGGCGGCGGACTCGGCGGTGCTGCAGTGGGGCGTGATGGGGGCGGAGGCGGTGGCGAAGATCGGGACAGATGCTAGGGCGGCGCTGAGGCATGGGGAGCGGCTAAGGGAGGTCGGGTTTGTGGAGGTGCATGAGCAGAAGATGAAGTGGCCGATTGGGCCGTGGGCGGCGGGCGAGAAGGAGAAGAAGATGGGGCAGCTGTTTTTGAAGGATATGTCGGATGGCGCGCCTGGGTTGAGTGTGAAGTTGCTGAATGGGTTGCTGGGGTGGGAGATGTCGCGGGTGGATGCGTTTATTGAGAGACTGAGGGCAGAGATGTGGAATCCGAAGGTGAGTTTGGTGAGGCTTGGTGTGGGAGGCGATGTGCTAACGTTCGGATTTTAGATCCATGCGTATATGCCAGTGTAAGTGTTCGCAGGAAGAGGCACATTGGAGTCATACCTTTGAACTTGACACTTGTTCGCTAACCGTATTTTCTAGGGACATATTTTGGGCGCAGAAGCCAGCATCAGATGGTTAGTACTACACTCTACGAGCAGAGTCCGAAGCTCTTTGTCATACCTCTACGTCAGGTTAGTCAAGCAGCTAGTTTATCAAAAGAATTTGGGGGCCAGCCCAGTTTCTGCCGCGAGAAATCGCTCCAGCTGCTTAAAAAGATGGCAGAGAGCGCCGAAGAGTGGCAAGAGGGTAAAGCTTGGTGGTGGAGCGCTGTCCAGGTGAGCGGTTTTGGAAATAGTGAAGCATGTATAGATTGATCTCCGGTTGGATGAAGTCGCGATCTTAATCAAGTTGTATAACTTTCGATTCGATGAATGGTGCTATGGCGAATCAAGCGAGTGTTCAGCCCGCCGAATCGTAACATTTCTCGACCTAGAGATGTGTTCACGAACCGGAAAAATAGGGGCCACAAGAAGCCAATCAATTCGAGGTAGTACATGGGTATTTCCAAAAGCTCTTGCGATGTCTAAAAATACAAGCGACGCTGACGATAGGTATTCCTACCATGATGATTCAGGCAAGAAGCAGGGCTCCTCAATGGCTGTTGTACAGGACTCCTTTCCGTCAGAACCAAATGGTAATGCTGTTGATGCTTTCGCCGCCGCGCGGACTTATACTTCTGCGTTCTTTGGCGATTCGGTTGAAAATGTTGTAGATTCTTGTTTTGCAGCCTGGGGCTTACTACGAGTTTCATCATCTTGGTTCGGCAATTTGGTCGGCGAAGTAGAGAATAGAGCATAGGCTATGAATGTTGTGATAACAATAGCGAACACGCATAATCTAGAGTTCTTATTTGCGAACTAGAGGCGGTTTTGATGATTTTTGATCGTGGACACGCATATCTTTGGGTTCGTATTTGCGAATAAGGGGCGGCGTGAGACTCCCCTTTCTCTTCCGTGATAATTTTGTTGGCGAAGCCGTCCATGCTGTTTCCGTAGCCCCAGTCCGACTACGGCGCGCGATGCTACGAATAGGAAGCTGCGCACAACTTGGACCTTGTTCCAGTAGTTTGGTCGCCGAAGTAGTGGATGCAGCTGGGGGCAGTGGATCACGGGGTGCCCATTCCTCAATGAGGGGCTTCATAAGGCTATCGCTCACCTCTTTTGTCACCTCGGTGGACAAATTGGTGGGGTTTTTTCGTGCAGTTTGGCGTTCCGTACGTTGTCGGACTTTGAATTTCGGGACTAGGGGCGGCATGGAAATGTGGTTTCTCTTCGTTGCAGCCTGAGGCACCCGACGAAGTACCCTGATCCGCTGTCGCAAGCGACGGAATATGCCCTCAGATTCGTCCCATATCCTCTCGTGCCTTTCTACGCTCGCTTTCGCCGCCCGCATTTGGTCATCAATTTCAGTGTCATCTAGCAGAGTGATACGAAAGGTCAAAAAGGGGGCAAAGTCAGCGAATTGTTGTAGAGAGCGATACAGTGGTGCTTGTGTTAACATTACCACTATACGACGCACTTTCTTTTCAGAGAATCCCTCGAATAATCATTTCGATGACGAGCCCAGGCATGGATGTCCCGGACCAGAAGCTGTAAAATGCGTTGTACATCATCAATGCGTGTTCCAATGTGAAAAAAAAGTTTCTGGAAGGCATCGAAGATCCAGATTCTCGGGTCTCGAGCTCGCGTCCTCCTGTGAAAGATCGCGGTCAACAGGTGTCTGGTTTCTTCTATATTTCTTCTGTAAGTCATAAGTTGTGATTTTGAAAGTCCGAAGATCTCAAAAATCTGCCCTTGTGGCCAATGCCTACCCATCTTAGACATCGCAAGTAATTCTTCCCAGCCATGACTGGCATTGCTAAAGGTTTCTTAGACAACGGCTGTTTCTGTCTGCATCCTTCGCAAGAATCGGTCAGATCGCTGAGATCTTATTGCTGCAAATTTTTTGACAAGTGATGGATAACAGGTAGTACACCCGTCGTATTTTATAAGGCCTCTTGGATCCACCGGATGAAGTCCCCATAATGCTAGATCTTTTAAAGAATTCATGATAGGGCTGAGCTCACCTTGACGCGCCCTTCGGAAGTCCTCTTGAAGAAATTTAAAGTTGGAGTGAAATGAGCCAAGTTTGAGAGGGATCGGAGCATCGTGCAACATTATCCGAATCCTGTTCATGTCCGCATCCACAATGTTGAACATTCTCATTGACTCCATGTAGCCCAACCGTTCGCGAGCACGCGTGAGCTGTAGTTTCAAGATCGGGATTCGCTCATCAGGGGGGGCCGCTATGGCATGCTCGAGACTGCGCACTTTATCCTTCTGTTCCTGGAGAGCCTGAAGTCTACGGAACTCGCTTGGCGCGAAGAAGTCGGACCCATCCTAGGCATTCCAATTTGTAACGCTGAGGTCTTCGTGTTGATCCTGTCTTTTGCGGTGACGTAGGCGTTCATGAGTCGGGCGTTCGGAAGCTACCAACTTGGAAGTCGAGGGCTTAGATATGGGGCGTTTAACGCGTGGCTGCTTGAGAGTCGGCAGCTTGGGAGTTGAGTGTCTTGACGAATAAAGTCTTTCGTTAGGCATAGAAGCTGTCATAGAGGGACTGTAGAGGGCAAGAGCGGATGTTTGCGCCGCGACGAGTTTGCTGTGGCGTGCATGCCGACGAGCATGATGAAGGAGGAGGCTAGATTCGAGCGATGGATAATGACAAGGACAGCGACGCATAGGCGCGTCAAGAGGCCGGTGTGCGCTCCGGCCTGAATAGGACGGATGTGTAGACTCTAGGCGACTGGCAGTAGGTCACTGCGCGTCTCAAGAAGCCGCTGAAGGTATCCTGAAAGCTCAGGAGAGAAACTGAGTAGACAATGTCTTGCTGGAATGTCGTGGTTCGCATTACCATAGGTGTAGGTCGACGAGAGGGTAATGGTCATGTAGAGCGTGAGGAGGTTGTCACGATGGCCAGACGTGAGATAAATCCGTGTCGGAGCGGCCAAATTATGCGCCGTACGGGATACCTACTTCGTAAATGTGAAACACGTGCATGAAGTCTTCCTAGCTTCCATCTGGACCTCGACGCCACGCCTGGCCTCACGTGGGCCCAAGGGCCGTTGGAAAGCGCCGATGGTGATGTCATGGGCGCTTGCGGGCAGCGACGAGACCCAGTGGATGGCAGGATTGACCAGAACCTCCGACAACCATCCCCCGTCCTCCGCACTGCAAGCACCGCACGCCCTCCAGCTCTGTTTCAAACACCGTCGGTACGTGATTCGATCTGCGCAGCCAACTCGTCTGCCCGTGGTCCAATTTACGCAACCGCTGGCTGCCGCCGTCCACCACCTCAAACACTGCGCTTCGAGTACAGGGTACGCTGCTAACAATAGTCCTACAGAACTCTATAACTGCCTCTGTGCCGACTCTTCTCACCATGTAAGCTGGCCTTCAATCTCCATTTTCCTCAGTTCTGATTTTCTACTACCCTATACTGCATTTTTCTTTACTGCATTGCATCGTCCCACCTGTTGCCGCAATCCACCGCATTTCTTCCTCTCTATAGCATTCCTCTAGCCCGCGTTCAAGCGTTTCGATTTATTTCTGCAATGGCCATCTTTGCCTATCCCCAGCACCCCCCTCCTCCGCCTCCTCCGCCTTATTCAGGCTACCCGACGTCTCGCACGCCTTCACGATCTCGATCGCTTACCATCATGCCTACGCGTACTAGGAATCGCTCCCTCTCCGTCCGCTCCAAGAAGGAGTCCGGCACTGGCATCTCCGAGAAATCTGTGCCAAAACATCGTTTCACCATGGCCTCGCTCCGTGGCATGCAACAACCAGACCTCTCCAAGAAGCTGTTCAAGCTGATCAAGACGGAGAACCATGCCATCGGCGCGCACGAGACTGCCGGACGCGAACGCGCGGCCATCGCCTCACAGCTGTCCGAGTGGGGCGAAGCGACAAACGACGACGCCTTGTCGGAGATATCAGATAAACTTGGGGTGTTGATGGCTGAGATTGCAGAGCAGGAGGACCTGTACGCGCAGAATCTGGAAGACTACAGGGGTGTTTTGAAGCAGATCAGGAACACCGAAAGCTCGGTGCAGCCGAGCAGGGACCACAAAGCGAAGGTATGCTTCCAAAATGCTCGGTGGTGTGACAATACTGACAGATTGAAAGGTGTCCGACGAGATCCAGAAACTCAAGTACAAAGAACCACAGAGCACTAAGATTGTGCAACTGGAGCAGGAATTAGTCCGCGCCGAAGCACAAAGCCTGGTTGCTGAGGCTCAACTCACCAACATTGTACGTATCGACATCTCTTTCCATGGTTGGCCCTTGCTAATACGGCTATAGACCCGCCAAAAGTTCAAGGAGGCTTACGACCTCCACTTCGCCGCCACAATTGAACGCGCCGAGAAGCAAATCCTGTTGGCAAAGCAGGCCCGACGCCTGGTGAACTTGATTGACGACACACCAATCGTCCCTGGCGACGTACACCACCCATTCGAACACATGGACGTTGCCCGCCAGGTTCTCAACGACGCCGAAGATGAGCTTCGTGCTTGGACGCCGAATATGGAGCCTATCCATTCGTCTGCTGGCAATCTCGGCGCCGGAGCCATGCCAGGAAGTCATTCTGTTGCCTCTGGTAATGGAGGCTACGAGCAAGACCTACAAGATACTCATCCAGCATACAGAGAGAAGGCCGCCGGCAGCAGAAGCACCAGCGGCGAAAGACGAGTCACCAGCGGCACTTCCGTAAACTCCACCGTTGGCACCGACGCGGGCCCGCCATACCCCATCAACGAAGTCGAGAGGCGAGAAGCTGCGCAGGTCTAAGCGGCGTTTCGATCGCGGCCTCCTGACGACCCTTTTGACGATGCGTTAATACCTTGCTCATTTGTTCTTTCATGTTGCCACTCGCGTGCTCGGTATGGCTTCCTCGAACGGCGGCCTTGCATTCTTGAATTGATGGAAAGGGCGGCAACATGTTGTATGATTAATGCTTCTGGTACTTTTTGGTTTGGGTTGCTAGATCGAAGGACATGCATGCCGCTGGCTGCTTAATGATGATTCTTTATGACTTTCAACTTTCATGGGTGGTCTAGGGCTCGTTTCTGAGAGCGAGTGAACTGCGTGAGAACATTATCACTATACCGGAATTCGTCTGAGCCACACGTTATTCCAATAGGCAATACCAGGGCTCAACATTTTATCTTCGCCTTTTTCTAAGAGTCGGCACTGTATTGTGGTGATCTATGCCTAGTGCTATTGGGTGTGGATAGATCGCCGTCGTAGTCCTTGGGCGGCCACTCTTTGATTAGAACTGCCCGTCATAGGAATTATTGGGATTGATCGGATATTGACGAGGTGTTTGAAAATAGGAGTAGAGGCGATGATGCTGTCTTGGTGGGGTTGAATTTCGCTCGTGTCCCGATGTCAGTGCACAACGCCAAGAACTATGTCAACGGCTCGTTCCAAGGTTGTTCCGTGGCCTCAATTCCGTCCACCTTGCCGGCTGTCCATATCGCCTGTAAAAACCACAGGCCGCCTTCTAGACAGGTGGTGCTTCGACTAGGCAGCTGTTCTTTCCCCAAATCCCGCCTACTTAAATACTATCGCGACCGCCTCCTTCCACGTCTACTCCGCACACTCCCCGCCTTGACTACATCACTTCACCGCCACAGAATCTGGCAGCTATCCCGCCTCGTACTGCCGGAAAGCAGGCTCGACGACCTAGGGGACAGCATCCACCTGCAACATGGAGTATGAGGGCGCCCCTGGGGGGCACAAGAAGAAGCGCGCATACGCCGCCCAGGCCTACGATTTTGGCGCAAATGCACAACCAGCTGAAGGAGCACCAGCACCCATCGGAGCTCCCTTTGGCTCTCCTATTGGCGCTCCTATAGGGACTCCTCTTGGGGGAGCGCCTACGCCTGGACTCCCTCAGGCGCCCCAAGATCCGTTGGCACCACAGTTCGGGCAGATGAATTTGGGTCCTCAGCCTGCAGGTGTGCAACCGCAAGCTCCCCAGATGCAAGCCCCACCACAACAGTTAAACCAGCTGTATCCCACGGATCTGGTTAGCCAGCCTTTCAATGTGCTGGAGCTCGACTTGCCGCCCCCACAGATCAATCTTCCGCCAAATGTATGGGTATCCAAATCAATCACCGGTTTGCACTCGCTAATTCATACAGACAAGCGCAACACCTTCGCCTTACGCAAACTGCCCCCCGAAATACGTCCGATCGACGCTCAACTGCGTCCCTACCACACACTCGTTGCTGAAGAAGTCTCGTCTTCCATTCGCTCTTGTAATCCAGCCATATTCCTCTTTGCATGATGCGGAGGATCCTGTACCCGTTGTTCCAGACCAGGTCATCTCGCGATGTCGCAGATGCCGAGCATACATCAACCCATTCGTCACATTCCTGGACCATGGACATAGGTGGAGATGTAACATGTGTAATCTCACAAACGATGTACCGCAGGCTTTCGACTGGGACTCAGCAGCCCAGAAGAGCGTGGACAGATGGCAGAGACCGGAGCTCAACTACGCTGTGTGCGAATTTGTGGCTCCGCAGGAGTATATGGTGCGACCACCGCAACCCCTGGTCTACTTATTCCTCTTCGACGTTAGCTACGCTGCGGTCACGAATGGGCTTCTTGCTACCAGCGCACGTTGCATCTTGGAGAGTCTGGATAGGATACCAAACGCGGACCGAAGAACACGGATAGGTTTCATGGCAGTAGACTCCAGTCTACATTACTTCTCCATTCCCCGAGATGGAAGCGAGAGTAACGAGCCGGGTATGCTTGTCGTCAGTGACCTTGACGAGCCATTCCTCCCAACCCCGCAGGATCTCCTGGTCAATCTTTCGGAATGCCGAGCAAACGTAGAGACCTTCCTAGAGAAGCTTCAATCGATGTTCCAGGATACGCCAAACACAGGATCGGCAATGGGCTCCGCGTTGCGAGCAGGGCATAAGCTCATATCCCCTGTGGGTGGCAAGATCACAGTCCTCAGTGCGTCACTGCCAAACATTGGTTACGGAAAGCTTGAGATGCGAGAGGACAAGAAAATGCTTGGAACTAGCAAAGAAGGCAGTCTTCTACAAACCGCCAACAGCTTTTACAAGAGTTTCGCTGTCGAGTGCTCAAAGAACCAGGTTTCAATCGACATGTTCCTCTTCTCTTCTCAGTACCAAGACGTGGCAACGCTCAGCAATCTGCCACGATACACTGGTGGACAGACTTACTTTTATCCCGGCTGGAATGCTGCTAGGAGCGAGGACGCCATCAAGTTTGCTAGGGAGTTCAGCGATTACCTATCTGCCGAGATTGGATTAGAAGCAGTGCTCCGTGTCCGAGCAACGACTGGTCTCCGGATGAGCACCTTTTACGGCAACTTCTTCAACAGGAGTTCCGATCTTTGCGCTTTCCCTGCTTTCCCTCGTGATCAAGCCTACGTCGTTGAGGTTGCAATTGATGAGACTATCACGAAACCGTACGTCTGCATGCAAGCGGCGGTGCTTCACACCACTTGTAACGGGGAGAGGCGGATAAGAGTATTGACATTGGCATTGCCCACGACGGAGACATTGGCGAACATCTATGCATCGGCGGATCAGGCAGCTATCACGGTCTACTTCAGCCACAAAGCCGTGGAGAGAGCTTTGGGAAGCGGACTCGATGCCGCTCGCGAAGCACTGCAGTCCAAGATCATCGAAATCTTGCAGACGTACAGGAAGGAGCTAGCAGGTGGCAACATGGGAGGTGGAGGCCTTCAATTGCCCCATAACCTAAGAGGGTTGCCCGTCCTGTTCCTAGGTTTGATCAAAAACGTACGTATCATCTAAGCCTTTGCCTCTTTCAATACTAACCTACAATTCAAGGTCGGCCTCCGGAAATCAGCACAAATCCCATCCGATCTCCGCGCTGCGGCTCTGTGTCTCCTGTCAACTCTGCCCTTACCGTTGATGATCCAATACATGTACCCGAAGCTGTATTCACTCCACGATATGCCCGACGAAGCCGGTGTCCCAGATCCGCAGACTGGCGAAATCCTTCTCCCAGCCCCTTGCAACCTCTCATCCGAGCGCATCGTGCCATACGGCCTCTACCTCATTGATGACGGCGTAAATCAATTTGTCTGGGTGGGACGAGACGCGGTGCCCGCTCTTCTCCTCGATGTCTTCGGCATCGAAGATCGGGCGGCCATTAAGCAGGGAAAGACCACACTGCCAGCGCTAGACAATGAGTTTAATGAACGGGTGAGGGCTGTCGTTGAAAAGAGTAAGGACCATCGCGCGAAGGGTGTTGGAAGTATCATCGTCCCAACGCTATACGTCATCAAGGAGGATGGTGATCCAAGCTTGAAGCTCTGGGCACAGACATTGCTGGTCGAGGACCGGGCGGATCAGGGAGTTAGTTTGCAACAGTGGATGGGGATGCTGCGGGAGAAGGTATGTGGTTCTAATCCGGAGGGGGTGGTGCCCTTGATCTTGAGCAGTTGGCCGGATTGAGGACTCGTTGCTAACGTTGGGTGGTGCAGGTTGTGCAATAAATGGCTCTTTTATGGATGCGATCAACCACGTAAGGTAAGGGTGGGCATGGTAGGGAAAAGGCATCTTTGCCCATGAGTTGACGGATCGGTGGCTCCGATGGCTGTTGCGGAGAGTTTGTCGGAACGGGGCTTTGGGCCATGTGGTGTGGCGGGCTTGGTGGATAGCGTTTTTCTTGTATCGCAGAAGTGAACGGAGAGAGGGTGTCTCACGAAGCACTCCGTAATGAATAGAAACGGTTGATATATCAGATTAGATGCATCAGCGTCCTCGCATCGTGGCTCGCTTTTGATAACGCCGTAATTTGTGAGGCTTGGCACATGTAATTTATCTAGGAGCTGCGCAAGCCTCAACCACGGAACAACCTCAACACCATGCCGGCATCCGCTCGAACCACTCAGAATGCATCTGACTAACGCAGGTGCATGTAAGCCCTTGGGCTCTCCGCGTAATAGCGGAGACCACCAAAAACCAAAAGGGTTGAGTTGTTCATCGGAAGAAGTGGAACAGGTACTTGCTTTTTATTTCCTTTCCGTCAGAATGTCTAGCTTTCACTCTATGTCAATACTCGTCGTGTTTTGCGCTGCCAAAGCGACTGTCTGCATACAAACCTCTTATTGGCTGAGCGGGATTTCTAATCCAACACGAACGTGTGGCGAGAGTTCACGAACCCAAGAACAAGACCCCTCCCTCCCCACCGCTCATCCTGCCAGGGCCGGATTTTCCAGAAGCGGCACGCCGCTCCCTTGTGGGCAGGTTCGGGCACGCGATGGGGCTCGAGTGGCTCTGTTTCTGACGCGCAGGCGTCCTCGAGCAAACCGGGGAACGACCCAGGTCTGATTCAGGTGGTCGAGGTGTGCGCTGGAGGACGGCGCCGGAGGAGGACCCGGACGAGGAACTCTGGAAAGGGCCCGGCGAAAGGGCGCATTGAGACGACACTCACCGCCTTTATACTCGCATGCAATCCACGTCGTACAGCAGGAGCAGGCCACGCTTGCACAGGGAGCGTGGTTCAGAGGGCAAGTCGACCGTGGCACGGCAGCCAGCAGCGTGGACGTGGACCTTGAGCGCGCGCTGCTCGGGCGGGATGCCTAGCCCTTTCGCTTCGGCAAGGTACAGAGGTACCTTTGATGTGGATCACGTCGCAGACAAGCACCCTGGCTCCCCTTGCAGCCGCCGCGTTTGTGGTTGCTAGTTCGCGGCACGCCTGGCTGGCGGCCAATTGGCGACGCGGGAGGCCGTGTCCACGGCGGTCGGGCTCCACCGGCCTCGTTCTGTGCTGACGACTCGGCCACGGCTGATGCAGCCAGCACCACTGCCAGACGGCGCGAGGCCTGCGAGGCAGTCGGGAGAGCGGCATGTGAAACCGGGGCGTGGCACGAGAGCCTTTCGTCGGCGCCAGGCACGCAGCGCCAGACGAGCGGCGAGGGCCTCGACGGGCATCTGGGGCCTGGCGGGCCTGGCGGGCCTGGCGGGCCTGGCGGGCACGGCGGGGCATTTCTCGGACGCCATCGCCATGGCGGCGCCGGACGGGCCCTTGGGCGTGGAGTCGCGGAACAGACACGTCCGTCTTGGAGGGCGCTGGCTGCAGATGCATCTTGCAGCGCCCTCCCAGCGCGGGCCTGCATGCAGACGCCGGCTGGGACGGGCCTGGGCGACGGCGACCTCTCACGCTCCGTCGCCGTCACGTCGCCGTCGTCGTTGGCCGCCTGTGCCAGCCCCTCAGCGTCGGGCGCATCCCACCAGCGCCTCTCGAGCAGCGCCAGGCTTGGCCGGCCTGGCGCGAGGGCGAACGCTCCAGTCGCAGCGCGGCCCGTCTCCACCAACAGCTGCGTGGTGGATCGCCGCCTGCTGCGCTGCTGCGCTGCTGTCGCAAGGCGGATCGCACTGCGACCCCGGCCGTTCTGAGCCCGCCCAGCCCCCAGGGCCTTGACAAAGCCGCTAGGTGCCACGGTGCCACGGTGCCACGGTGCCACGGTGCCACGGTGCTTGCGTCGGCCAACCCTCGCATCGCATGCGCAGCGACTCGCAATTCGGCCTCGACTCCACGCCCAAACCACTCCACCACCCAACGACTCCTCTCTTCTGGCCGCCTGCAGCCGTCCGAACCCCCAGCGGGCTGCTGAACCCCAAGACAGAGCCGCACCGTACTCACCACGCCCGTGCCTTTGTGCATCTGCACGCTGCGCTCACGATCTGCCCAGTGGCGGGGATCGCCCCTCCACCACCTTATCGCGGCGTCACTGGCCATACGACAAACTCCGCGTAGCCGGCTGCCCTCGTCCATCACGAACCGCAGTTCCGCTGCGCCCTGACGACTGACGAGGCCACCATTTCTGCTGCTGTTGTTCCCCTGTGCGCGACCGTGGCCCAGAGCGCAGTGTAGTATCGGTCGGATGTCGTTGCATCGTTGCCCTATCGACCGTCAGCTGCACCCCGACAGCCTTCCACGCCCGCTGCGCGCACCCCTCGCCCGCGAGCACCGTCCGAATTGCGTTCCTGACGAGTCCCAGCGCTGGTGACTCGAGATACGGCCCACCACACCGGCCGCTTGGCCCTGACCCGGAAGAGCCGCCGCGGACTGCTGCGACGTGAAGCCTTCCCCCCCAGCGTTTCAGGTCAGGCTACTTCTCCAGAGAAGACAACCCAGCACCCCGCCGACTTCGACCCAGGCACCGTCGCCATGTCTGGATTCCAGGCCGTCAACACCACCCTCTTGGTGCCGGAGCACCCGCCAGCCCGCATGGGCGAGGAGACCACGCCCACCACCCCGCGACCGAGCAAGTTCTTCGTCGACCAGCGGCCCGCGGAGGATGCGCGAGTGGACGAGGCGAGTGCGAAAACGCCCACGCGGAACAGCTTTGCTGGCTTGGCCGCACAGCGGCCCTTGCCGTCGTCCCCATTCACGCCGTCGCGGGAGATCACCAAGACCCCAAGTCGGAACGGGGAACTGAGCAGGGAGAACTCGCATCGCTCGACACACTCGGTGGACTCGCAGGATGTGGAAATGGGGGATGAGGATGACGGGCACGACGGGTCGGACAATGAGAGCGTGAACAGCGACACGACGAGGCCGTCGAAGAAGAAGAAGGGCCAGAGGTTCTTTTGTACTGACTTTCCGCCTTGTCAGCTGAGCTTCACGAGGAGCGAGCATTTGGCAAGACATATCCGGTGCGTGGAATTGCAATGTATGCGCTAGGCTGTGCCTCGTACTGACATATCGTAGGAAACATACTGGCGAACGGCCATTTCAGTGTCACTGCTCCCGCCGCTTCTCACGACTCGACAACCTTCGTCAGCATGCGCAGACTGTGCATGTGAATGAGGACATTCCAGGAGACTCGCTCGCGGCGACTGGCACAAGATTCCAGAGGCAGATTCGCACTGACAGGGTCAGGCCGCCTGGTAGTCGATCTAGGGCAAATACACTGGGTAGTCAGGGCGGTCATAGTCGCGGACACAGCCGGAACCTCTCTTCCTCCAGTATAACGTCGACGACGTCGACCATCAGCACTGTGAGCACGCCTCAAGATTCAAGAAGGCGTCCGCCCCCGCTAGCGATGGCCAATGATGGCGCTGCGAGAGCCAGGCTGTCTTTGGAAACCTACAATCCCCCGCTCATGGGCAGTCCTGGACCGCAATACACGAACTACGGCAATCAGTCTCCAGGAGTCACTACGCCTACCTCTGCTACCTTCTCCGCATCTGGTAGTCCGAGCAGATTTCCCTCTGGGCTGCAGTCACCAATCTCGACTGTCCCCCGATCTCTAACTTGGGGAAGTAGAACTCCTGGACGACGGTTGTCTGTACCGTCGGGAGGAAACCCCTTTCAAGGACCTCAGGGGTCCCTTCCCGCTCCTCTTCCATACCTGACACCAATGCCATCATCAACATCGTCTACGTTCTCCGGAAACAACAGCCTCTTTGCCAGCCCCACCAGTTCCGTCTTCTCTGAATCAAGACGAGAGTCCAACGCATCCGAGTCTGACTGGAGAAGGAGAACGTGGCATCCTGGAACCTACTCCAGCCTCGGACCTCGTCCCGCGACAAGTGGATTGAGTTACTATCAAACCCCTGATGCTCCCCACCCCTCATTCTCTTCTCAACCTGCCGCAAGCCAGACCACCCGACTTCCTGGAATCGAGAGCTTTGATCATGCGCCTCCACCTCTCTCACTTGCTCGCCGACAGCCAAGTCCGATGCAAATAGATGCACCCAGTCGCGCCCCGGCATTCCCTTCAATGCAAGAACAAGTTGCGCCTCGGGCTGGTGATCGAACCAGCATATCCTGGGACAGCTCTCTCCAGAAAGGGCTCAATCGACTTGACATCACTAGCCCTACTCCTCCAAGAGAGACGCAGGGATGGTCTCATTATCAAGGTCCACAACAATCTCAAGTTACAACAGTCCGACCGACAACCGCGCCTCACACGGGCTACTACAGCTACCAGTCCTCCACAGCTCCGGTTTCTCAACAAGCTCAAGCCCCACAGCGCGAGGCGGACCGCTTGTCTCAAGAACAGCCGGTTACTCCCCGCAAGAACAAGCGACATGGCTGGTACAACGGCCCACTTCCCCAACCTCAGCCCGGCCGCACCATCCAACGCACCTCTCCTGAAGACTCCAGCAGCAGCGAAGGCGTTCCTACCCCATCCACTTCTTCGCTTGCAGAATACCATCCCGCCATCGTCCACAGCAACGGCTACATCGAGGCACATCCGCCTGGCGTTCCCGTTGACGAACAGAAGCCTCCGGTACCACAGCCTGTGGTTGATCGAGGCACGGTGTCGTTGCAGACGTATTCGACTGCAGGACCACCGCCACAGCGGGCGTATCAGGTTAACTCCATGGAGCATGATAGAGTGGGGTTTGGGCAGAGGCCACACGACGCACACCCGGGAGCGAATGATATGAGGAGATTGGATGTGCTAGTTGCGGTTGCGACGGGGGAGCAAGCGGGTGTGCCATCGAGACCTTGAGGTGAGATCGGGGTAGCATCCTCACAATCCCGCTTCAAAACTGAAGCCTAAGGGCCCTTGAGCCCGGAAGAATCGCGGCTCGCTCTTGACGAGGCGTTATCCCTACAGGGTCGTAGTCTCACCAGCCACCACCTATACCGATCTACCTTCCCGAAATATCTTGAACCCTCCGAAACACCTCCGAACTATCTACCTGCCATATTTCCAATATCTTCTCTACTCTCAAGACATCTTCCACTTCTCCATACATCAAACGAACGGCACGACGTCACGAACTATAACCAGCACGAAACGAATCTGCTTCTGACCACGACCTCATTCATACCATCTATTACCAGTTTTTACCTGACATCATCGGTGCGAACATGATACCCATGAGAGAAGGGGACTACGGACTTTTGCTTTTTATATCCTATCTGGGAGGAATGAGTACAAGCGGCTACAGACTTTCTTTATTATGCATGCATTGTCTTACGTGTTGGTTTTCCTGTGTCCTTTTGCTTTACTGTCAGATCGGGGTTTGGGTTAGCGTCTGCGCGATGGGTTTCTGCGCTTCACACTTTCGGTTTTCTTTTGCGATGTCATGAGGGACGGGTTATGGTCATGGATGCACGGGATGGGATGGCGGTATGGTATGCAAGATGTCACGAACCTTGGGAACACGATGGAGTGGGATGGATTTACCGCATTTTGGTGGCTGTTTTGGATGCTTGAGAGGGGATGGGGTGGGGAAGGGGGATTTAGTTTTCTTGCGTGTTGTTTTATGTTATGTGTTTGCCTTCCTACTACCCTTCTCTGCTCTTCGCGTGGTGAGGTTAGGTTGGTGGGTGTATTGTCGACTTCCTTGCGGCGGGTGCCGATGGCGTTGAGGAACTCGGGACGCCGGACACGCATGCGATGAGCTGGCACGAGAGAACCTCCAAGATAGGGGGTGACTTCAACGCGCCGGCTCTGACGCAAGAGTATCCCGTGCGAGCGATCCCGACGAGCGGAGTCGGCCCGGGTAGCTCCTATCAATTCCACCTCCGACCGACCTCCTGACAACCTCACCCGACCTCCCTACTCCGGCCTCTCTCCTATCTCCTCATGACCTTGCTAGACCACTCGGTTTCTCTTCGTCCAGCGCTTCTCTCTTCCCATTCGAAGGCGGCTTAATGAAAGACGGAAGAGCGGTTTCAATGTCCATAGCTTATCCAATTCAATTCAATTCAACTGATCTACTCTCCTCTTCCAGATTGTCTACGTGATATCATCCTCATTGTGAGCCTCCTGCTTTCCGCTTCACATGCCCACACTCGGCCACAGATAGGGGATGGGGGT